TCCTTTTGTGAGCACTTCTTCTGCTCTATTCGCTCATTTGTTTTGTTTTTATGTTTGTTGGGAATTAGTTCGAATTTTAGGTGTTTAGGGAATAAGGTGTTTTATCCACGAAAGTGACCGCATTTCTTTGAAAAAAATTATCCCTGAGAAGATGAGAAAATCAACCAGGCGTACATTCCTAACTTAGTCATGACTTGTTCTTTAAATTCTACTAGTTTTTCAATGTCTCGGCTATAAAAAAATTTCGACCTAGATCTCAGGTAATGGTGCTTCGACCGTCGAGTTTTTTGGCTTAAAGGACGAATTCACGATGAAAAAGCAACCCATTTCAAATTAACCTAGGGATGGTGAGTGGTACACGAAAGAAGGAAGAACCATGAGAAACGGCCCAGAACCCGAGAAATGGACCCCCCTTCTTTGCCCGTTGATTTGAGCATTGATGCGACTCTCATCGCTGTGCCCTCTTCAACACTACGCTCTCTCAGCTATCTAATCACTCGCCACGTATTGAACTACGGCGAGTGATCAGATGATCGGTGGGCGGAGATCGCCGGATTGATTTCTCCTCAAGGGAAGATAAAGTTAGAGCTAGTTGTCGGTTTGGTCAATTTTTGTCGGCTGGACCTCCCATTTCGCAGGCCTAAAATTTGAAAACCCTGGAACAGAGGTGGAAGAGAACATAGCATCTTGTAGAGCAGACAATTCTCTTTCGAATGGTATATCGATGTAAAAGCATGGGGATTTAGATGAAAATTTTTTGGTTGAAAAAAAGCGACACTACTTATGAGACAACCTAATACTTTGAAGTAGTTATAGATATTCTACACTCTGGGATGTTTCTGAAAACAGGTGTCACTTCACTTCATTATATAAACCAGAACTTTGGTGTGTCGGTTTGTCGGTGTGTGTGTGTGTCGTTCTGTCCGTCCGGACCAACCGCTCACAAAACCAGGGAGTACGAAGGGCAACACTTCGTGATGTTGATGTCATGATCATGATAACACCCACAGCGGCTATATAAACACCGATCGAGCACACTCAGTCTCATTCTACATGGTGCTGCCGTGGCAGCCGGATGAGCGGGGGGGGAGGGTGGAGAGGGGTAGAGGGAAGGGGGCAAGAAAGGGGAGGCTGGAAGGGAGGGGGAGGGGAGAGAGAAAGAGGGAGGGAAGGGGGAGAGGAGAAAGGAGGAGAACATGGCGCTGCTATGCGCCGGAGAGAAGGGTTATAAGCAGGGTCAACCCTGCGTTGCGCAAATTCCAAAATTTTTACGACCCCCTTCCTTTTCGGAGGGTATCGGTACGACCCCCCGTATTAACTATTATGTCTTTCACATAATTTAATGCTCATCATTGATGTATGGGCAGTCACCAACATGGAGAAGTGGTGGACCGTGGTCAATCCGCGCGCTTGTCTCGCTCAGAGGAGGGAATCGAGGCAAATGAAGTTTTATTCATTAAATAGAAGGAATTTCCAAATTTTTGCGTAAACCAATACATCATTTTAATCAAGATTTCTACTTTCAGAAACCTACCAAGTTTTTTTCGATCTCTCAATTTTCCTTATTTTATAATCTGAAAAACTAAACCTTGTAGCAATTACGTTGCAATCCAAACCCCTCCATTCAGAAGGTTATATTTTTTTCAGAAGCGGTCTCATGGAACCGGACACCAAAATTTAAAAATTCAAATAGTTTTCTTCCTAAAAAGTATTTGAAATGTTGCGATGTTCAATATTTCAAAAAATCGTCCCGTTGTTCCGTTTTTTGTGCACACGCGAGTTTTCGACATTCAAACATTCATAACTTTCTTCATAATCAACTTTTTGCAATGTCTAAGGCTAATTAGAAACTAGAAGATTAGAGCTTTCGAACAAGCACCTGAATTTTCCAGCGATCATTTCTCTCAAAAAATAGTCCCGTTGTTCCGTTTTTGGGGGTTTGGGGTCCGATTTTTGAGAAGGCGCGAGTTTTCGACATTCAAACGTTCATAACTTTCTTCATAATTAACTTTTTACAGATGTCTAAGGCTAATTAGAAACAAGAGGATTAGAGCTTTCGAATTAGTGTTAAAACTT